AGTGGCAGGTGGGGGAGAGGAGGGAGGGAGTCCCAGAACAATTCAAGATGGGATTATACCAAGAGTTAACTTCAACTGAGCATTTGCTATGCAGTGTGCCTGAATCGCCTCCTTTACTTCTGACACGCAGGCACAGAGAGGTTAAGTAACTTGCCTGAGGTCACACAGTTAGGAAGTAGTCAAACCAGGAATCAGACCCTCATGGCCGATTCTGGAGCCCGCACCCTGCCACTGCACCCCCAACACAGCTCGTACAGGAGAATCCCTGGCCGTCAGGCAGTGGCTGTTGAGATGGCAGAGACTGGAGCTGATGGCTTCGCTCTGCAAATGGCCCTCTTGGGCAGCTCTTCCTCTGTCATCAGTCTGAATTCTGGGATTGGGCTAAATGCAAGCCAAACAGTAATTAGTGCTCTTGAGAGTCCTGGAGAGATGGACAAGAGTTAGTGAAGGGCCTTCACCCACCACTTCCGCCCTCGGACACACTGCGACCAAGGCACAAACCACAACCACGGGTATGTGGGCTCGAAAGCAGGCAGCTGTTGGTTAGGCTAGTGCTGGGGGGCTTTCCACGTTATTCCAAGTTTGACTGTGAAACCCGGTGACTGTTAATTTAATGTTAGTAACGTTCCAGATGTATAGGACTTGGCTCTGAAAGGTTTTGTTAACCAGCACCAACAACAAAAGAGCCAGCAAATATTGACTGAGTTACTACCTGGAACAAAGCTTCGTACGCTCCTGCATTCGGTATTGGCAAAGCGCACAGGCAACTGGGCTTTGTTAAAGCTCAACGGAAGCCTTACTATTGCCCTGTTCTTCCACACACAAGACTTCTATCACATATTTCAGTAAGTCGAAAAATGGAGTGGTCCTGTCCTACTAAACACTGAATATGGGGCGAAAGAGGTAATTTTGGGGCTCCCATGCAGGAGTTTTAGCTCCTTTAAACTGAGTTTAAATGATAATACTCCAAACTGGGGTAATGGCTTAATGAAAGGCACCTGTGCTGCATCTGCTCAATTGAATTGAATTAAGTTTTAAACTTGGGTTGGTTAGCAGGTTTCTGGAACATGAAAGAGTAGAATTTAAAGCCAGCCCAGCTCAAGGACGCTTCAGCATAGACTCCGGCGGCCACCCTCAACCACACAGCCTTGTCCCCACACCCCAAATAATTCTCCTCCAGGCCCCCCACAGCTGAGTGGAAGCAGGAGGGCGGAAGCACCCCCCCTCCATGCCACACTGTTCCAGCCGAGCGCTTGTCATTGCTTCTCACACTTAATCCTCACAGCCGCTCTGTGGGGAAGCATACCCATCTCTGTCTCCAAGAGAAAGCACCTCGGGCTGAGGCAGAAGTCACGTGCCCAGGCCACATGGCTGGTCAGCATCCGAGGGGAGATTTTATTTTATTAATATTATTTTTAAAATATAATTTTTTATTTCAGAGAGAAAGGGAGAGGGAGAGAGAGAGAAATATCTATGATGAGAGACAATCATTGACCGGCTGCCTCCTACACGCCCCCTACTGGGGATTGAGCCCCAAACCCGGGCACGTGCCCTTGACGGGAATGGAGCCTGGGACCCTGCAGTCGGCAGGTCGACACTCTATCCCGAGCCACACAGGCTAGGGCCCAGGGGAGAGTTTACCTCGGTCGGCCTCCCGGGCCCACAAAGCTGTCCCCGGGACCACGCTCTCACGCTTTCCTCGAGAACTGGCTGCATTGAAAGCCTGTGACTAAAGAACACCGAGGAACCTTTGAAGCCTTAACCACGTAATCACAGGTTCTTTTTACAGTTGATTTCTTTGGAAGGGCTCACAAACACGGTGGGAATTAGCTAATTACGTCTCACCACATTTATTTCTCCCCCAGAGAAGGGGCCAGGCTGCACTTCGTTGACAGGAACAGGAGGTAGGGGGGGCGGCTGTGGCTCTTGCCGGGTCAGCTGCAGAACGAAGCCCAGAACAGAATGGCTCCCGCCTCCAGGACGGGGCTGAAGGCTGCCAGCCCGCCACGTAGCCAACCCCCCAGCTTGCAAGTAGGCACGAGAGAGAACATGTCTGCGGTGTTCCTGGTGCTGGTGACACACCACTTACCCTGTGGTTATCCAGGGGAAAACCCTCTCTGGGCAGTGTCGGGACACGAACAGAGAACCAAGTAAAAAAAACCAACTTTTGCAGCCTTAGCCTGGGTGCCTCGCTTCTCACCAGTGCCTCCCACAGACAACTGGGCTTGGTAGGTTGCTCCAGGCTGGATGATGAGTGGAGTAGGCATTTTCCCCTTTGGATAATTGCAGCTTTAACAATATCGAAATCTTTATCCTTAATACATCCCACTCCTGCTGTAAACCAATGCTGTAACTTTCCACTGCTATCCTCCTATAAAACCTCCCTAATACCTTGAGAATTATCTTGCCCCTTCAACCATGGCACATCAGCCATGAAAATATACATTTGACTCTAGCCCAGGAAAGTCTCTTTTCCACCAAAGTAGCTATTTTTTTTAAAAAAAAAAAGCAGCTTCATATATTGTTTTAATCAATCTCCCTTAGATACTCCTTTAAAATTTCTTTCTGAAAACCTCTAGGTCAGCTTCACCTAAAGATCTCTTAGCCACGTGCAGAATCCCCACTCACCCTGCAACACAACAGATGTCCTGTTTCCGCTAAAACGGGAGGGACACGGCCCCGGGCCGGCCGCCAGGATAATGGATATACCAGGCGGTGGATTCGTACCCATTCGCTTCATTTTTTTTTAATTTGATAAAAACTATGGGGACTCCCATTTGTTGCAGGTTTCCAACTGTGCATTTTACATACACTGGCCTCCGGACGGCCCACAAGGTGGGTCCATTTGGCTTGTAAGGGAAGCAGCGACGGGCTGAGGTTACCAGGTCAGACAGGGAGTCACGGGCCGCAGTCAGCTGGGTCCCGGAGTCAGACCCCATCGTCCACCCTCTGGCCGGTG